TGTAAGTATCAATCTCTTTAGACATATAATCTGTTTTCTAAATTCAGTTTTTCTTCTTATGAGACAGATCATCGGAAACATGGCAATCGTATTATCTATGAAAAATTAACGGGTAGTGCACTCTTTCGAGGTTCATTACTCGATCCAGAGGAACAAGAGTAATAAAATATATATATATATATATATATATAATCAATCCATTTCATTAGGTCATAGTTTTCTTTTTCAATCCTTTTAGAAAAGATATGGCTAATAAGATGCGTCTCTATCAACATTCAGCGCGATGTCCAGTAGCACTTCGTGCATTTCTAGATTGCAATCCAATCTATTGGCGTTTTATTCCTCTATATTGGAAAGATGCACTATCAGACAATACGACTTATTACCGAGGACATACTGTGAGAGATCCTATATTGGCAAATGTAATGGCCACAACTGCTATACATAGTCATCACTTGGCTCAATATCTCGATCGTGTACCTTTACCACCAGCTGCCTATGTCTTTTCATATCGACAACTACAAAAACAACGTATATTTTTCGAGCGTTTTGTCAATTCCTCTATTCACGAATTACCCTATGCTGTATTGGATTTATATAAAATGGCGATTATCGCGATTCGTAAGTGAATTCCTCTCTTGTTAGATTTTTATTCTATTTTTCTCTTGTTTTCATGGATCTAGTACCTGATGATCATTCTATTCTATTACGTTATATTATCGAAACGTTGTTCATTATACATGGTGAAACTAAATTAAATATGATTTGTCCAATTGGTAGCGATGTTGAGCGACGTTATGGTCCTCCATACAATTCTGTTTGGTGTGCTAATTTGAATTATTCATCGATATGAATTAGAACATTGACTCAATAAAATTCTCAAAATGTGAAATGATCACCTTTATAAATAAATTTTCATTCAATCTAAACTATATAAACTAACGAGTAGAAAATAGTGATGCTTTCGTATTTGTGTTGACCTTTCTTTTTTGTAGTTAATTTATCACACCCATTCGTCTTTCTTTGTCTTGTTCTTACATTTTCATTTTGCATTTCTTTTATTAATTTATTCTATGCTAAATTGAATATATTTATGAGAAGTAGTTTCTATTCATATTAATCAAGATAATGTTATGATTTTAGATAAAAAGTATTGAAAAACAAAAAAGAAATTTGAAATGCTCTACAATTTCTTCTTCTATATGTGCCTCATTTTATCAGGCATTTTTGAAAATTGCAATGGATTACCTCTTCAAATAAATTATACACAAGAAATGACTACATCGAATGTATTGAATGATTCAATGAATTTATTTCAAAGACATATGGCTTTACAAGAAATGAAAAAGTTATTCAAACCATATACGCGTACAATCTTTTCGCAAGATAAAAATACTAAGCCAAAACCATCTGACATAAATACATTTAAGTCTGACATATATTTATTACGAAAAATCATCCGCAACTACCATACCATGTTTGATACTTTACTTAAAAATTCTATGAATAAGACACCTATGAGAGAAGATGTTCATCATGATTATTTGAATACACATCCAACAGAAACAATTTGGCTCTATCTAATTATTTTCTCCTTGTTAAGCATCTCTATAGCTTTACTAATTTATATAGGATTATCAAAGATCAACTTAATTCAATCTCGTCCTTATTTATACACTTTTGTCTCACAATTGATGTCTCATTTTTACAAACAGCCATCCCGACAAAATGTAATGAAACTTCAACTTATTGATCAAAATAAAGATGGTTCACCAGAAGCCACATCAATTCCAGAGAAAATCATTTAATGCAACATCGAATAAAGATATTAGTTAGTATGGGATATGAACGTGTATTTCGAAAAACTTTTAAAACAGAACTAACGCTTATTGCATGCTCTTTTTCAAATACCTATTATTTCAATTTGGCAATCTTTTTCGAACATTCTAGTGTTTCAATAAAAATTGTAGTGTTAGAATTTACTTTTTGCTGTAAAGAATCTTTTAATGATTCTAAATATTCTTCTTGAATCTATTCAATTATATTCGAACAAAACTCATTTCGAAATTCAGTGAAATATTTTGTATGTTTTTATTCAATGATATTAAAACATTATCTTGTTTTTTTTTCGTTTTGCTTTTCATTTTTATCAGTATCTCTTCACTCTTATTATTCGAAAATAAATCATTTTTCTTTTCTTCTATTATAGATATATATAATTATTACCATCTTTTCAAAGATCAAAACGGGTCGATCAGCTATACTGGACATATTTCACATATTTGCAGTAAGTACGACAAAGTTGGTAATCTTCTTTATTCACAAAGATATCATTAGTCGAAAAGAAATGATTGAAGAAGCGAATTGCTCTGATTTGTCGTGTCAATAGAGTATTTTGTATATTTCAACTATTTTCAGGTGAAAATTGAGTTATATATAGAAAATACACATAGGATAATATCGAGGAATTTCCACTCACTATCCTTTCAGAATTTCTCTATTGAATTACTTAGGATGAATTTGAATAATTTTTTTATGAATAATCATGTAAAATAATATCAATATCTATTTAATAT